GCAATTTGCAGACATAATGGGGATAATCTGGATGCTCAAACCCCTTAGGTTGACGCATATAAACAGTCTCAGATAACTCACCATGAAGGAATGCATTTGACACATCGAGTTGGTGCATGAACCAATTTCGCTGAAGAGCCAAGGATAAGACCAAACGCATTGTACTAGGTTTTACTACAGGAGCAAAAGTTTCAAAATAATCCACTCCAGGCTGCTGCGAAAAATCTTAAGCCACTAGATGAGCTTTAAATCTTTCAACAGAGCCATTTGCACAAACTTTGATTCGAAACACCCATTTGTTGCCAACAATATTTGCATTAGGAGGAGGAGGCAGTCCAAGTATTATTTTAAATGAGAGCATCGAATTCAGAACTCATTGCTTGCATCCAACGAGTGTATTTAGAAGCTTGAGCAAAGGAGGACGGTTCAGATAAAATGGGACATGTAGAATCCATCAAGGAAGGAAGAATGTGTGGCTTGAGGGACCCTGTTTTAGAGCGAGTAGTCATATGATGAGTTTGAGGTTGTACAGTTGTTGATTGTGTGCGAGATACTTAAAAAATGTCGGGTGAAGAAAGAGTTGGCGTATAATGTGCATGAGATGAAGAATCATGTACAATAGGAGGGAGAGAGGAGCAACTCGAAGTGGATACAATAAGTTGGTTAGTAGAAGTTACGCGATCTAAAGGTGATTGAGAATGGGAAGGAGAAGGAGTGCCTGGTGAAGAAGGAGAAAGGCTAGAAATATTCTCGTGATTCAAAGGAGTTTGAAGACTCCTATTGGAAATGTGATGCTGCAAATTAGGTGAAGTAGGATGACTGTTCCCATGTAAAATAGGACTCTACAAAGTTGGAGGAAGTAGAAGATTTTTCCTATTTGAAATAGGTTGTTGCGAAACGGGAGGGGGGAAATTCCACCAAGACGTGTGAGATGGACGGGATATTTAGAATTAGGTGAGGTACTTGGAGAAGGAGTAGGAAATAGAGTCTGAAACGGGAATGAGTCCTCAACAAAATGGACATGCCGAGAGATAATAATCCTATTTGAGCAAGGGTCCAAACATCTAAATCCTTTGTGTTTATCCGACGAACCAAGAAATAAGCAAGGTTTTGATCGAGGTTGAAACTAAGAACAATGATTAAATGCCACAAAGGGATAACATAGGCACCCAAATACATGAATTAAATTATAATCTGGCAAAGGACCATAGAGTAGTTCAAACGGAGATTTAAAACGCAGCACTGGAAGAGGAGTAACATTAATAAGGGAGACAACATATAAACAAGCATCAACCCAAAATTGAAAAGACATAGATGCTTGAAAGATAAGACACCGTAGGACATTCGCAATATATCGATGTTTTCGCTCGGCCCTACCAGTTTGAGCAGAAATGTGAGGACAAGAAAAACGATGGACTATGCCATTTTGTTTAAAGAATGAACTAAATTTTTTGTCAATGTATTCCCACCTCCATCGGACTGGAAATAAGAAATAGAAGTGTGGAAAACATTTTTAACCATTGCATAAAATTCTTTGAATTTGTCAAAGGATTCAGATTTTTCGCGCATCAAGTAGACCCAAGAGAATTTAGTGTAATCATCGAGGAACAAAATATAATAACGATATCCTGAATTTGAGACAATAGGAGCATGCCATACATCTGAATGAATTAAAACGAATGGAAAATTTGCATTACTACTTGATAAAGGAAAAGACATTCTAGTTTGTTTGCCTAAATGGCAAACATTACAAGAATTATTGTTGATGGAAGAAGTACTTCGAATTAAATTTCTAGAAACTAACTAACTAAGAGACTCTCAACCAGGATGTCCCAAACGTTGGTGCCAAAGGAAGAAGGCAAGACTTTAGCAAAGAGACCAAAGATGGAGGAGGCAGATGGAGCAACACGTAGAGGATAAAGAGACCCAGAATTGTTACAGTGGAGCAACGGTGTCCTGGTCTTCAAGTCCTTGACAAAAAAACCAGAGTTAGTAAATTCAATAAGACAATTATTATCAGCACACAAACGTTGAATAGAAAGCAGATTTTTAGCAAGGGATGGAACATATAAAACTTTCTTTAAGAGAAGAGGCTTAGAAGTTGTTGGAAGGATAGAGGAACCAGTAGATTTAATTGAGAGAAGAGTACCATCTCCAACCATGATTTGAGAAGGACCAGAATAAGGAGTGTGAGACGTAAGAGTAGAAGGATCTTTTGTCATGTGCACAGATGCCCCAGAGTCTGGGTACCAAACTGTTGGTTGAACTTCCTCCAAATTCATTGCAGCAAATGGTTTAGGAATATTGTTAGCCACAAAGGAATGGTTCAACCTGTTTCTGCACTCCAACGCAGTGTGATTATAATGAAAACAAATTTGACATTGTTTAGTAGGAACAAAAGGTGGTCTACCCAAAATACCAGTAGCAGGGGAAGGAGGCCGAGATTGAGGTTGGAAACCAGACCATGAAGAGTTGTGGTATCCTCGACCCCTACCATATTGTCCCTTGTTATTTTTGCCACGACCTCGTCCATGGAAGTATCCTTTTGTAGGCTGATTTCCATTGAAGGGAGATGATGAATTAGAAGTGGTCTTCGCTTGAGTTGACGCAAGCAACGCAGTTTGATCATTTGACTCTTCAGAATCAATTACATTAATATGAGCTTCTTCGGTGAGAAGTAGTGGTCGTAATGCAATAAAAGAAGGAAGTGAGCCAGTAGCATTTAATCCAGACACAAAGGTACGATAAGATGAAGGCAATCCTTGCAAAGTTTGAGTGACTAAATCATCATCAATCAGAGGTTACCAATTGCCCTGAGAGAGTAGGCAATAGAGTGAAGTTGCTAAAGATAATCTTCCATAGAAAGGGGACCTTTCTTGAAATTTTGGAATTTCGACTTAAGGTGAATGGATGAGGAAGAGACTTGATCCAAATATAGCGATGCGAGGGTGTCCCAAGCCTATTTAGATGTCTCACAAGTATAGTTCAAAAGTGTGTCAAGAACAATAGAAGAAAGTGTTGCATTAATCCAACTTAATGCAATAGTATCCAATTGAATCCAAAGCTTGTAATCAGCGCGGTCTGGTGATGGACATGGTATGGTTCCATCTACTAAGGAAAGAAGGTTGTGACTTTTAAGGACAGTGAGAAAAACTCTCTTCCAGGTGAGGTAATTGACATATGTCAATTCGATAGAAACAAAACCTTTGATATTGGAAACTGTTGGAGGGGGGATGGGGAGGCCAAGAGAAGATTGATTCATGGCGGTTTGAGCAGAAGAGGAAGAAGAATTTTCTAGAGCCATTGAAGGGGATCGTTTAGGGCTCTGATACCAAGATGAAGGTTGATAAACTGAGAAGCGTCAAAGCGTGAGTCTTGCTCACCTTTCCAGACTTATATTTATAAGATAAAGTTACAACAATATATGAAAAGGATAATTACAAGAATAATTCAAATAAAGTCCTAATACAACTAATTGACTAAAAGATAATGCTAACAAGATACACACACGGTCAGAGGGGTTTAAAATATAGATTTTGAACAAGTTAAAGTGTCTGGATAAAAAAAAAGTGGAGTAGGAGGACCGGCATGACAAAGTGGCACAAGTATAGGTGTCATTTAGGTCATTCTGCCAATTAAAAAAGAACATACTATACGAAAGACAAGATACCCGAGAAAAATTAAAACAGCCAGCCTGGTTTTGGAAGCCCCCTTTTCCTATCATCAATCAAATTTGTAGGCGCCTCAGGAAGTCCAGATCTCTTTTACCCTCACTTTCTCGCAGGGCCTCTACAAATTTGCTCCCAAGCTCTAGTTTAGAGACATTGTATCCATTGTACCGGCTGGGAACCTTGGGAATCCTAAATTTCTCTCCCGCTATAGATGGCGATCTCTTCAAGGTTGGTTCTGTTCTGAGAAAGATACAACTCCCCGCATAAGTTTTGGAAGTTACTGGTGGACGACCATTTGAAACTTCTGAATCTTTCTTGATGACCGAGTTTGACCACCAAGCTGCACTGGTTCCTCTCTTTCAAAGATCAGCGGATAACTAATTCACAGTAGGGGTATTATTTTCAGACTTGAGCTCCCAGCATTTGTCAGGTCCAAACATGATCACCATTAGCAACTAAAATATTGCTATAATTAGTTACATTCTGTCTTCGTAAACCCAGCATATGAGAGAGATATGTGAAGTGCTGAACCTTCTGTAGGGATGCACTTCTTTGAGATGTGCTGGTAGTCAGCCTGAAGTAGTACGTAATAAATTATGGTGATACAATGTCACCTCTTCTCCATGTATATCTACATATATTATACAAAGCATCTCATAAAATTTTTTTAAAAAAAAATAATCGAGTTTTCCCTTAGAGTTTGATATCATTGCTGGCTGTCCAGTAACTATCAATAGACTCAACCCCCATCCCCCAAAAGCAACAGAAAAAAAAAAGAAATAAAATACTCTATGAAGTGCCTTCAATAAATTCTTGAACAATGAAAACGCCCAAAACTAGCAAGGATCCAAGCAGCTAGAACTTTAATCAAATACTAGATATAATTGATGTTGATAATATGCCAGCTATAGCAAACCGTTTCACTTGGTCAAAAGGTAGGATGTCAAGAAAATTGGGCAGAATATGATGCGACGAAGTCTAGCTATTATCTTTTTGTGATATGAAAATAACTTTGGGGTATTTGATCACTATAATATGTTAGTTACTTTAAGAGGTTTGTAGGAGGCCATAAACCTTTTATATACTCCCTCCGTTTCAATTTAGATGAGGTATTTTAACTCGGCACGAAGTTTAAGAGAAAAGAAGAAATTTTTGAAATTTGTGGTCTTAAAAGCTTAAGGGGTAAAAGCTTTGTGGGACCATGACATTTGTATGGTCATAAAAACTTCTCATTAAAGGTAAAATGAGTAAAATGAAGAGTTTAAAGTTGAATTATTTTCAAATTTAGAAATGTGTCATTTATTTTGGAACAGACTAAAAAGTAAAGTACCTCATGTAATTTGAAACGGAGGGAGTATTTCTTATTTTGGGAAAGGCATTAGAAATATTCAGATATTATCTCACTGGCCTTGGAACATAACATTATCTGGTTCCGCTACATATGTTCTGTGGAGAAAGTAGCAAACTGGCAAAGCTTCCCTTAAGCAATTCAAGAAAAGCATATGTTGCCCAGGTTCCTTCTCAGTCCCAATAGCCTAAACAACAAGTGTCTACTGCCTGACGACAAATATGGATTCTAACTGAACTCTTCTAATACAAAAGAGGATGCTTCTGTGTGATTATGTGGAAGCCCTGAGATGTGAAGAGGAATTGTGCAAGGCTAAGACCACAAATAAAAGGTAATCAGTTGCTGATGCTAATACTGCTTTTTTTCTTCAGACAACTAACTCAACATAGAGCAAGGAGTAAAATTATCAGGATAAATGATCAAATAGGGAGGAGGATCACTAAGTACAATTGAGCAGTAGGAGTGTCTACTCACATTTGTTAGTGAAGATGAAATTTATAACACACTGCTAAGTGGCTAAGCATAAAGCTCCGTGTCCTGATTGTTTCCAGCAGAATTTTACCAATAAAACTGGCTCTTAGTGAAGTCACAGTAAATTGCATCTTTGAACAATCTTTTGTAACCATTGGCGGTGAGCTATCTGCTGCTCTTAATTCTACCACTATCATTTAGTTCCTAAGGTGAAGACATTACAAGGACTTCCAGCCAGTATCATGAATGAACTTCATTTACACACTGATTTTCAAGATTATCACTAACATATTGAAACCGCTCATGAGATCTTTGATCAGTAATTGTCAGAATGCTAGTGGAATGAAGTAGCATTACAGATACAGGACTTAGTGCTTTATTTATTTAATTTTGACAAGACAAGATGGAGAAAGACTTTTATATAAGGGGTAAACTCATAAGATGCCAAAAGAACTATAATAAGCTTGAAGCCATGAACTATGGCACCTAAGTTTACGATGATTTTAATGGTAATCTGCATATTATCTGTAATGCTGCAAAACCAAAAGCTTTGAGTACATCCATTGGGGAAAAAAACAGTTTTCTTATCATAAGCTTGAAGCTCTGAGCTATGTCCACCTTCATTGGACCTATGTTTCCCACGATTTTATAGTAATCCTGGGGGTTGAGTTAAGGGGATTTTATGCCTCCTTACCTGTTCCACTCACCGTTGAGGCCTTCACATGTTTGTTCAACACAAATATTGCTCTGCAGGAATTTAATTTCCTCCCTACATTGGACATGTTTTTTGTGGGTTGTCTCTTCATTGGTGTTTGCTGTTAATGAGAAGTCCATCCATACTCCTCGTCAAACAGGTTGTAGATCAATTTGGAGACCTGGTTTATTCCTAATATGCCGAAAAAGTGCAAAGGATTTTGCTGATTTACCTGTTGATGATACTCAAAGATCAGCCATTGGTGGTTTTCAACAGGCACACCGTTCCTGTCAAATATTAGGCACCCCGCTTATCTCTTCCGAGCTGGATCACTGATGTTGCAAAAAGCTTGCAGAGAAAATCTTAGGTAAAATACGAACTTGATCAAATAAGGGATCCAGGGTGGCTAAAGATGGTAAGCTTGTTTTGTTTGGTATCCACACATATTGGTTTAGTCTCTTCATATTGCCTAAACAGAAACAGGTTATCAGAGCTATCTCACAACTGTTCCAAAAATACTGCTATTCTTAATCAAATTTGGAATATCTTCTGAAAAGGATTCTTACTGCAATTAATGGATGAATTCAGTGTCAACTTAGAAATAAGAAATTTTGGGCAGTCTCAGTTCCTCATCATTGCTTAATTGCTCATGGAGTTAAATCCTCTAGAGTACCAGATTTTGTATTCATTATCAAATTGCACATGGTTGTAATATTTCTGTATGCTATAATTCTTTCGATCCTTTAGGACCATGGCACTAGGTTTTCTCTACTAATTGCTGCGACAGCCATATTTGACTCTAAAAGTAGCGGATTCGACTGTGGAATATGGCTGGCAATAACCAACTAGAGTCAGAGCAATGCTCAACTTTGGTGGGGCTTCTAATGGTTCGTTTGCCATGTATAATTCCACAAGGCAGAGGCCTCTAGCTTGGCTACAGTATTTTGTTTCGCGAATTGTATTTCAAGGATGGCTTCATTCTTTGGCTTGCTATTCTAGATAGACTTAAGCATGACTCAAAAGTGAAAATGTGGATGCTGATAGTTGTTCACGTAACAAACATCCTGAAAATGTATCACATCTCTGCTTTCAAGTGAATAATCTCAACCCATCTGGCAGCATCTCTTAAAACGGAGGCTAGTACATAGAGATATTTGCCTTTGGACGGAGAACTCAATTGGTTGAGTCAGAGAGTGCTTCAAAATTAAGGAATCAAAGAGTGCTTCAAAATTAAGCTCAAACAACTAAAACCCCCTTTATCTGTGATCCAAGAGAAGCTGAGTACTTGCCACAAATCGAGAATTAGAGATAAGCGGAAGATGAACTTAAGATTGGTCTTTTCTCTACATATTTTCGATCTGTAAGGACTAAAGAGTATCCAGTCTGAGCTCCATTTGTATTTATTTGTTTATTCGTGTGTGCGTGTGTGTGTGAGAGAGAGAGAGAGAGAGAGTAGTAAACAACCAGTTCAGACCACAATGTCTCACGGAGGACAAATTAGCAATCAGTTGGTTTATAGCAGCATGTGAAATTCTACCATGTCTAGAACTATATCAACAATGGGATATTAAAAGTGCAAAGCAAGAATAATTATACAAGAAAAGAGAGGGAGAGAAAGAAACATACTGTTGCTGAAAGCCCCCAAAGACTTGAGGAAATAGCTACTGGACAGAGAAGACTGCAGAAATTAACGGTCGCTGACGCAGAGGAACACTGTACTCAGCACCGGTGCACTTGGAACACTGCTTCTTCTTCACTTGCAAAGTGAATTGCGCACATGGGGGCCCCGATATTATCCTCCAATATATTTTTCCTAATGGGATCTGAATTACTATGATCTTATTGTTTTCCATGAAGGTAAAACCAACCACCAAATACATAGCTACTGTTTTCTCTTCTTTTTTTTTTTGTTGGTCTCGAAAAAGAAAGTCATTTCTAAAAGAATAAACGGAAATTAAGAAATTAAACTTAAAATTTTACATGTAAATGAAGATTAAATTCACAAGCCTTAGATGCATTTATTTATTCACTATGATAATTTATTTCTTGTCAGACATATATAATTTCCATTGCGAATTTCATTTATTCACTGAAAACCTATAAGAGGAATATATAATCCATTTTTTGGGCAACGCGCATCTTTATTACTGTCCAGTTATTGCCAAGGAAACTGTCCAAGAAAAACATGTTAGACCAAATTCTCCCAGAAACTTATCATTCTTTCTTTTTAAAAATAAATTCCCACTCCTTCCCACCTTCCCAACAATACATAAAAATGAAAAAGAATTCTCAGACATGCTAAATGCATGAACATCTGTAGCTGCGCAGATTTCAACATGAATTAAAGATAGAATTGAATTATTTGTTTCACCGGACAGACATTAGACCCATAAATATTACTCCGATTGCCTTCATCTGTAACGCCCCACCGTACCTGTATATATGACTATCTACTTTAACTAAACCTAAAGAAAGGAGGACCATCTCTTTTATTCTAACTGCCAAATCAGAGGCAAAATATTTTTCCTTTAATTAGTAACTTCAAGACTGAAGTCACCGACAAAGTACACATACAATCTAGAGTAAAATTTATAAAGAACAAGGAAAACCAGAAAAAGACAAGATAAGACAAAGTCTAAGTATGTTGCAACAAAATTCATCTCTTGTATTTATGGAAACAAAGATTTTGCAATCATTTGGTACCATCACAAAAGATTGGTCGTACAGCAGCCTTAAAATCTTCATAAAACCTTTGCTCTGAGAACATGGAGGCTCGCTTCCTGGCAGCAGCAGCTATCTCCAGCCTCTTATTCTCTGGCATCTTAATGACTTCAATAATGGCTTCAGCGTATTCCTCCACGCCCTGGGCAAGGAATCCAGTCTGCTTCCCATTTTCTGGTAACACAATATCCATCCTTGGTCCAGCTGAATTATGTGCTGAACGAAACCGAAAAATTTGAAGTCAACTAAATAAGTCAGAGACTCAAATACAGAGCAAGACAGAAACCACACAACATGGCTAACCAATTGGTATCGCGCCAGCAGCCATGTATTCAACTACACTTATGCCAAAGTGCTCATCTGTCATGGAATGGATTCCAGCTACAGCACCACCCAAAAGTCTGACCAAATCACTTCACCAACAAAGATTAAAAAACAAAAATGAAGCTTCTTAATCATGTCTATCATGTATTGAAGTGATGGAAATGGATAATCTACCTAAACATTTCACATTCTATGTCTAAACACACAGAGCTAACAGAACTACCAAGAGATTCAATCCAGCTGGTTAAGCAATTTACACCCATGCATAAATATATATCCTCTTTGTGTATTACATTACCTGAACATCCAACCAATTTTTATTTATCTTATAAATAACATTTCCCTTTTCTTTATTTTTGTTTGGTGGTGGTGCTGGGGGGTTTTGTGTTGGGGGGAGTAAGCCAAGGCAATAAAAAGTCCATCTCTTATGAAACCCTTACCTTGAAAGTTATAGCTTCAAGCAGTTAAAGAAAAGTTGTGGTCCTGAAAATTCAGTAAAATCATGCCTTGGAGTTTAAGAAGTTCAGACAAACAAATGGAGTTGCGCCACTAACCTGTACATGACATTCTTGTGGAACTCAACATGATCATCCACATTCAGTTTAATAGCTAGGTCCTTCAGATTTTGCAACCTTTTCTCATCTGCTTCATTCCTACAACTACCCACTAATTGGATAATTGGCCTTGGCAGATCTTGGTCTAATTTCTTGATGGCAACTGCAAACGCCTCAAGTTGGAGTGGGTGTGCCTAACTCACAGAAAAACCAAGTTTTACAAGACTTTCAAGATTACAATATACCTTGAAACACCTGCAGAAGTATGGGTACCTTGAATTCTACAAGGACCACATAAAATGCCCACCTTCTCTGGACGGAACTGAGCCACAGATACTATCTTCGGAGGTTTCATTGACTTTTCTAGCGGAAGCGCCTGTCAAGAGCAGTGTCAAGTTTGTCGTTAATATGGCCATGCAAAAATGCAATTGCTTACTGTCCAACCCAGACTCAAGAAATAATAAGACCTTCTAAAAAGGAATAGAGTAATGTCATTTCCCTCAATTTTCAACAAAGGCAAGAGTCACGAAGTCCAAATAAGAATCGAAATGAGAAATTCATCTGAAAAGTACATCGAATCCTACTTTCATCATATACTTCATTAATGCAAAAATGCAGGACAGTGCTATAGCAAAAAATTAGCCTCAACTCATTAAATTAATAAAATCTACAGAAAAAAGGGAAAGCATTAATAACGTTAGGCGTCAGGAGGAGAAAGACGGGTTATATTAGCACCAAAAGAGTTAAAAAATACAGACCTGAAGCCTAGAAGTATCACAAGGAGGATACACACGCCTAATTCGAGCTGGTATTCCCCACAGCTTCTCAATATGAGATTGAGTCCATGAAGAATTAACCATTGCAAGGTGTGCACAAGAACCAACAAAGCTGTACAGCCAGCCAAATAGTGTATAGTAAACAACCTTGAACCTGGATAGTATCGCACTGCCAGAAAAGCAATTTCATGAGCTTCATGCACAGATACAAGCAAAGAAAATGCAAAGATATTACAATATCATATTCAGTCCCTAGGATATATAATTTCAGAAGACCCACTAATGCGTCTAGATGTACACTTTCATGGAGAAGCGGGATAACATCTTGCCATTATATCTTCTTACGAGTGCCAATTAGTAAATGACCACATTAATTTGGTAAAAAGATACGCATACATGAAACAGGGTCAACTGACAACATTGTTAATACTAGAAAAGAAAGAAAAAAAGACACAAGCAGATCAACAGTTTCTCATAGGGGCCTTAGGCACCACTTAGTTGACAGACAATGACAAAGGCTTGTCTGACTAAGCATGGCCTTTTCCTTTTTGTTTGAATAGGCCATTCTCATTTTTCTTCAACAAGGTAGACCAACCTTTAGGTGCGTTAGTAACAGAAACTTCCATCAAAATGACTATTTGACTTGTTAGCATGAAATTCTACAGATAGCATATTTTTACAATACAAAAGGAAAAGGGACAGATCTCCTATAGATGGCATATTATGATAATATGTAGTACCTCTTGGCAATCAAGGAATCATTGTTGTACATTGAACTGCGCCCACGAACACGAGATAGCATGTCTAAACTGATAGTTGGATAATGAGTATAGGAAAATACTTTGCATCCAAATATACGGGCAACTGGATAAGTAAAAGCATATCCGCTAGTATCAAAGTAATATAAAGGTGTATATTTGCACAAAGCTTCCCAAGAAAGGTAAATCGATCCAAAGCTTTGACCAATCATTGTGAAACGAGGGTAAGTGGTTTCTTCGACCCACTTTCTCCTATGCAGATGGACTACCTGATGTAAACTGCAGGAAATCAGTAATCTTGAGCAAAATGACACTGAATGTCAATATATCGAAGTTGCAAAAGAACAACTACATTATGCAGCAATTATCTGGATAGGATATTATATGTGTTTGTGATTACCACCATCAAACATATACCAGTAATGAAGCATCAGAAAGAGGAATATAAGATGCAGCAATACAGGTAACAGGGGAAGGAGTATACAATACAGATATCTCAAAGCAGCTACAAACTAACATAAATAAATATTATATTTCTAAACAGAGTAGAAGTGTATTCCTGGTGCAACAATAAAGAATGTTGAGAATTTCAATGACTTATCAGGGATAGAAGAAGCACAAAGACTGTGATACTGTTGAAATCCCTGGTAGTAAAATGCCAGTATCTGGGAGTTGATAGCTACAACACTCGATACTAGTGGTGGAGTTTGGGTGTGTGGAGGAGGGGAGGAAGATGAAGAAACGGGAGCGAAAGTGAAAAAGGAAGTTTGTTTAGCTGAACAGAAAGGAAATATGACAATTTTCTATTTTGTGACTTAATGGTTGAAAGTATTCTATTTTAATACTACTTTCACAACTTTTAATAATTTAAATTAGTTATACTAAAACTTTCAAACTTTAATGTGACATTTCTTATCAAAGTATAACTTCTCAACCATTACTTTAATATTATTACACTATTGCTGATAAAATATGTAAGTCAAATAATCCCTAGAGTTCGTTTCAAGTCAAACACTATCATAAAAAATGAAATAATGGAAATAATATCATGTACGCAGAGTAAAACCCACCGAGAAGTAAAGGGTACCTTAGGAGGGTGGATTAGTTTGACTCCAAATCGATCAAGGGCACGGCCACTAAGGCTGTCAGGTGAAGCATCATGATCTCCTGTATATATGACACAGTCTAGATTCGGGTTTACATCTTGGATGGCTTTCACAGCGCACCACAAGACTCGTTCTCCACCACCTCCGTCATTGGTGTATGGGTG